TCGGCATGGATTGTCAAGCCATCCTCACCGCTGCCGCGGCAGGCACTGCCGAGGCGACCAGGCCCACGCGCATGCCTGCGCAGCTCTGGTCGCGTGTGTCCGCGCCCCTGGACGGCGACACTTCGGAGACCCTCACGGCGGGGAGGCTCACGTGGACGCCGGCGCACGGCGCCGAGGCCAGCATCGGCGTCGCGAAGCGACCCGACGGCGGCTTTGTCACGGCCGTGGACTGGCGGGCCGACCGGCTGGCGGACGCTGCTGCCACGGCGGCTGCGGGCTGCCCGCCGCAGTGCGCAGCGTGTGCGCAGCGTGTGCGCAGCTTCCCCGGACAGCGGAGAGGCTCGTGGCGCGCGAGGCCGCAGCCTTGGGGGCGGTCACGCATGCTGCTGACGATCACGCGCGTGTCGTGCGTGGCCCTGGAGGCGCCCTCCAGCGTGCCACAGCGTGGGGTGTGGCCGCCGTGCGGCGCCCGCGGGCGCCGGCCCGCGCAGGCGGCCCACCGCCGAGGGCTGCACCCTCGCCAGTGCTGCCCGGCGTGCTGGAGGAGCGGTGCAGGGCGCGCGCCGCCGCGGCCCGCGCTGCCGCCGCTGCGCGGGCAGCCCTGCGCGTGGCCCGGGTTGCTGCGCTGCGGCCCTCCTCGGCGCCGCCTGCCGCCGTGCGCCTTGGCGGCCTCCGCGCGCGCGTCCTGGCCCGCGTCGGCCAGCGACCCGTGGTGTAGCCGGCTGCTGCTGCGGCGGCGCGCCGCTCTCTTCCTCCTTCTCCTCCTCCTCCTCCTCCTCCTCCTCCTCCTCCTCCTCTCCTCCTCCTCCTCGTCCTCCTCCTCCTCCTCCTCCTCCTCCTGCTCCTTCTCCTCCTCCTCCTCCTCCTCCTCCTCCTCCTCCTCCTCCTCCTCCTCCTCATCCTCCCCTCTGGCTCCTAATTTGGTGCTCCGAGCTTTCGCGGGCGCGTAATCCGCTGCCCCGAGGGTCTCTTGCCACGGAAAAAGCTTCTTGGGCACTATCTGGGGACTCTTGTGGGCGTCTTGGGAGCTGCTTGGGGGCCAATGGGAGCCTCTTGGAGGCAGTCTTGAAGCGTCTTGGGGACAGCCTTGGGGCCTCGTTTGGGCCTCTTGGGGGCCTCTTGGGGCTTAGTGGCGGCTTCTTTGGGGCCGCTTGGGGGCTTCTTGGGGATTCTGGGGGGCCTCTTGTGGCGGAAAGATAACATGTTCGAGTCGTGTTTTCCTTCTTGGCCTCTCTTGGGGCGATCTTTGACCATCCTGGGCTCCTCTTGGAGCCGTTTTGGAACCCTCTTGGGCCGTCCTAGGGCCCTCGTAGGGACCCCTTGGGCAGTTTGGGGACGGTCTACAGGGCCTTCTGGGCCGTCTTGGAGCGTCGGAGTCTCGAGGCGACGATAACTCCAGAAACAGCCGTAAAAAACAGTTGAAGGAAAGCCATTGATTTGTGCATCTCTGGGCCCTCTTGGGACGGTTCTTGGGCCTCTCTTGGGCCTCTCTTGGGCTTACCCCGCACCGCCGACCCCCTGGGGAACTGGTGGTGGTTGCGTGCTGCTCCCAATGGGCCTCCTGCGCGCCTCTGGGGAGCTTCCCGGAGCGTTTTTGGGGGCCTCCTGGGGGCCTCTTGGGGGCCTTCTCGGGGCCTCTCGGGCTGACATTCTCAGTACTCGCCGTGCACGCACGGGGAAGCGGGCGAGAACCCACGCATACAGACGGCGGGGATCTGTCAAAACACCCGAAGAATGATCGAAGGCGCCCACGGCGAGTCACCGCCGCCCCATGCCTTTGGGAGTCGCCAGTGTGGCCGAGCGTTGTGGCAAGAGTTCTGCCAAGCTATCGGGCCATGTGTTCCCCCAGCCTTTGTAGAAACCCTTCGGGGAATATTCTGGGGAGGACGGCGGGGAAGATCACGAGGAGGAGGAGGAGGAGGAGGAGGAGGAGGAGGAGGAGGAGGAGGAGGAGGAGCAGGAGGAGGAGGAGGAGGAGGGGGCATCCTGGGAGCCTCTGGGGGCACGGGCCTCCTTGGAGCTTCCTGGGGGCCTTTGGAGGCCTCTTGGGAGCCTCCTAGGGCTCTTTGGTAAGACTTCTGGGACTTCTGGAAGGCTTCTTTGGCAGTCTTAGGAGCCTTTCGGAACTTCTTGAGGGCCTCTTTGACCGTCTCAGGGCGCTCCTGGCCCGTCGGAAGCCGTCTTAAAGGGGGTTTCTCTGGGCTGGCTTGGAACCCTCTGGGGGCGCTTGAATGCCGTCTTGGAGACCATCTTGGGCGTCTTTCAGGCCTCTTAGGCCATCTTAGAGCCCTCTTTGGACCGTCAGGACCTCGGGGGCCGTCCTGGGGCCGTTTTGGAGGCCGTAAGGGCCATCTTGAGCCGATCCTGGGGCCTCTGGGGTCGTCTAGGGCCGGCGGAAAGCCGAAAATAAAGGAAAGACAGGGAAACTTTCCAAAGCCTAAGGAATATCGATGATGTTGGCCTCTTCGGGCCTTTCTGGAGGACCTCAGGGAGGCCTCGTGGGCTGTCTTGGAGGCCTCTTGGGAGCCATTTGGGCTGTCTTGGAGAATTCTTGGGTCGACTTGGAGGCATCTTGGACCCTCCTGGGACGTCGTGGAGGCCGTCTTGAACCATATTGGGCGAACTTGGAGGCCATCTCGGGCCATCTGGGCCGTCTTGGAGGCCTTCTAGGGCCATCTTGGAGCGGGAAAGGCATTGACCCGAAGATTGTTTTGTGGACGTTGAGGTCGTTTCCGGGCCTTGTGCGCCCTTTCGGGTGGCCAGCGGGCTGGGCTGGAGCCCCAGGGGGAGTTCTTTTGGAAAAAAGCCAAGACCAAAAACGATAGCGTCTAGCACGCCAGGAGCCCCTGTGGCAAGCACAGGGAGCTGCGGATTCTCGACTGGCCTTCGGCACATCCCGCCACCGTGCTTGGTTTGTGGGTCTGAGGCCGCTCAGAGGGCTGATGGGGTCTCGTGGGGGGCGTCTCGGGGGCGTCTTGGAGGCAGTTGTTGAACCTCTTGGGGGCCGCCTGAGGACCTCTTGGGGGCTTTTTGCGGCCATCTTGTGGCTCCCTGGGTTGCTTGTGCCACGTAGGGTAGCGGCGATGGCGACCGTTGGAGGTAACCGCTGCGCTGTGCAACGTGGAAGAACCATTCCGTCCCATACGAACATAGGGTGTGTGTGGTTGTTTCTCTATGACGCACCCTGCTGTGTGCGGGCGTTTTGCACAATCGGAAAATGTTTCCTAGCTGAAGTGCCGTACCTCCGTGCCTGCCCAGTCCTGGGGTCCTCCTGGGCATCGGCTCCGAGTCCCGGGTCTTGGGAGGAGGAGGGGGAGGGGGAGGGGGAGCAGCACGGGGAGGAGATGCAGAGGGAGGGGGCAGAGGCCCAGATGCCCAGCGACTCCTCCAGCCCGGAAGCTCCACCCGTGACCCCGGAGATGCTTTCCTCCCTGGACGGCTTCTTCCATGTGGATGATCTCGGAATGTTCGTGCACTCCAGGGGGCCATGGGGGCACGTGGCCGTCCCGCCGGGGTACGACGGGGAGCCTCGAGGCGGCCCCGACGCCCTGTCTGCCACCCCCGTCGACCCGGCAGGCAAATCGGTTTCGGGAGTATGTCGCACGTGCGTCCTGCCCCACCTTTTCCTTGTAGACAGCTCCTCCTCGCCGTCGTGCCACCAGACGCGTCGGCAGAGCGGGCCGCGTGGGGGTTCCGCCCGAGGCTTTCCCAACCGCTTCTGATGCTGAAGCGTGAAAGCTCCGACAACGACACAAATCGAAGGGTGGGTGATTCTCAACGTGCAGTTCACGCCTTCTCGCCTCGTGCACGCGTCGTCAAAGCTCGCAGCAGCTGCGCGGCTGGAGGCCGGGCTTGTACTTCATGTGTGTTCTCGCTGTCCCATGTCGACTACACGTAAGAGTGACCTTTCGCCGGAGCGACCTTTGGTGCGGGCCCAATGGGGTCCCCCGATCGCCGGACGCGATGCGGTAGTAGCGTCTTGCGCGCTTGTGGTTGGCAGCCCCGCGGCCCCCGAAACGCCGCGCACCAAAGGTCACTCTTACCCAGGGTCACTCTTACGTGTAGCCGACCCTTTCGCACGTTCTTCTTAAACATGTTGCAGCGCTTACACCGATGAAGAGCGACAAACGTTGTAGTTGAATGTGGGTATCGCCTTGACGCCGTACACCTGCGTCTCACAAGGTTCAGACACTTGAACGAACGGAGGGCGACTCGTTATCAGAATGTGGCTCTTGCCTGATGTGCCCCGCAAATTCGTAGTTCTGACACGTACTGAGGGCTGACCATGTCTAATATGTACCGCTCGGTTCTGCCGCGCTTACTCGTATCATGTTTGGCAACAGTTCGGCGGATGGAGCGTGGCTCTCTCGCAGCGTCAGGTTTGGAAGTGAAGCCCCATCACTGCTATGACAATGTGTTGGAATATGTCCAGCAGCTATGCGTGGGCTGGGTGATTTTAAAGATGGGCCTCTTGCTCGTGACCCCGCAAGCTCACCGCCCGAAGTACAACACGTGTGCAAGAGTTGCACGGACGGAGGGTGTTCCTTTTCCACACAGGGCTCTCGCTTGAAAGACCGGCCCATGGGGCGATTGTCTTCCAAGTTTGGCGCTGAAGGTGCTGAAAACGAGCGCTTGCAAGAGTTTAGGAGGAGGTGGCGGCGGAGTTGGCATTGTAGCTTTGCTTACGCATCCCTGGTTTGTTCCTGTCTGCCTTCTATCCTCCCCCCCCCTTCCTATAGTTTCCCATCCCCATGGTCCTCCCGCGACCGATCCTGCTCATCCGCTTTTTCCTTCTCTTCCCCTCCTCCGCCTAGACTGTCTTTTTGCTCCTCCTCCTCCTCCTCCTCCTCCTCCTCCTCCTCCTCCTCCTCCTCCTCCTCCTCCTCCTCCTCCCCCTCCCAGCCCCCCATCATCATCATCATCATCTTTCTCCTTCTCATTCTGACCTTCTCAGGGCCCGTGCTCGGGCCGCTTGTTTCCGCCCTCTGCTGGACGCTGAGGCCAAGCCGTGCATCCCCACGACGAGCACCACGGCAACATGGACATCCGGCTTGACGATTGCCCCATTGTTTGGGTTGCGAGCTGGCTATATTGGGCTGGCCTCTGGCCAGAGCCGCCGATCCGGGGGGGGTGAGCCTTGGGGACGTCTGGGAGGTTTCGGGAGCTGTCTTCGGGGCATCTTGCAGTGTCTGGGGGGCCCCCATGACGAGCACCACGGCAACGTGGACTTCCGGCTCGACGATCGCCCCACTGTTGGGGCTGCGAGCTGGCTACATATATTTGGAAGGGTGCGCCACCGGCACGATGTGCGGCCGCGGCAGGGCGTGATGCCGTCAGTCAGTGGCGACGGCAGAGTCGATGCACCTCGTAGGTAGTGGCTGTCGTGATGAGTTGCTTGTTTTTGTTGTTGTTGTTGTTGTTGTTGTTGTTGTTGTTGTTGTTGTTGTTGGTGTTGTTGTTGGTGTTGTTGTTGTTGCCACGTTTGTTGTTGTTGTTGTTGTGGTTGCTGTTGTTGTTGTTGTTGTTGGTTGTTTGTTTGTTTGTTTGTTTGTTCGTTTGTTTGTTTGTTTGTTTGTTTGTTTGTCTCTCTCTCTCTCTCTGCGGCAAGTCCCGCCACAGTGTCGGCCCAGCTTTCAGGGTGGCTTTCGAGGGGGCGCTGGAGGCCGTCACGTGTGACACCTCGTGTCTCCAGGCTTGGGAGAGCCGTGATGAGGGTCAACAGGATGATGGGGGTGATGGCGATAACGATGATGATGACGATGATGATGATGCTGATGATAATGGTGATGATGATTGTGGTGCTGATGACGATGGTGATGCTGATGCTGCTGATGATGATGACGATGATGATGATTATGATAGTGATGATGATGATGACGATGATGGACAAGGTGATGGTGATAGTGGTTGTGATGGTGATGGTGATGCTGATTATGATGATGGTGGTGATGATGACACTGATGATGGTGGTGATGATGATGGTAATGGTGGTGAAAATGATGATGGTGATGATGATGCTAATGGCTTTGATGATGCTGACAATTTGATGATGGTGGTGGTGATTATGATATTGATGGTGACAGTGATGGTGATAATTATGACGACGACCATGCTGATGACGACGATGATGATAATGAGGTTGCTGATGATGATGATGTTAGTGATGGTGATGACGATGACGATGACATTGACAAAGATTATGATTACTACCATGATGACAGGTTTGTTGATGATAATGGTGATTATGATGATGCTGCTGCTGATGCTGATGCTGCTCTGAATGTTGTAGATGGTGATGATGACGATGAGGATGGTGGTGATGATGATGTTGGCGATGATGATGGTTGTGGTGATGATGATAGTGATGTTGGTGATGATGATGGTGGTGATGGTGATTGTGATGGTGGGGATGACGATGAGGATTATGATGATGACGTTGATGGTGATTGCGATGGTGATGGTGATGGTGACGGTGATCGTGGTGTTGATGGCGAGGATGATGATACTGATGTTGGGCCGTCTCGGGGGCAGTCTTAGCCTTCTGCGATGCATTGGGGCCCTCTCGGGATGTCTTGCGGCCCTCTTACGCTGGCTTGGGGCTCTCTTAGGCCGTCTTGGGGCCCTCTTGGCCGTATGGTGGGCGTCTGGGGGCCGTCGTGGGGCCGTCTTGGCACCGTCTTGGACTGTCGAAGGCCCTTCTAAGGCCGTCGGGGGTCTCACGGGAGGTCCTCTTGGGCCGTCTTGGGGCCGTCTCGGATGCCTCTTGGGCAATCGTAGAATCCTCTTGGCCGCTTTGAGCTAACGACAGCCCGAAAAGGCGAGAATGCGAACATCGTTCAAAAACTTGAGGGACATCAATGATTTTGGCTCCTTCTGACCCTGTTGGAGGTCCTCTGATGGCCATTTTGTGCCCTGGAGGGATCTTGGACCGTCTTGAATGTATATTCGGCCGCCTTGGGGCCATCTTGGGACGTCTTCGAGGCATCTTGGACCATCTTGAAACTCGGGACGCATGTTCACAGTTTGTAACGAGAGATCGTTGCTTGGGAGGCCATGGAGCGCTTGGTAGCAGCGGTTTGGAAATGCGGGGAGTGCACGATCCTCGAGCCGATGCGCGTGGGATGCCATGCGGGAAGTGCACCATCTTCGAGCGGGCATGCGTGGAATGGAGGTTCAGGCATTAGCTGCCATGCGGGACGTGCAGCATCCTCGAGCGGGCACTCGTGGAAGGGTTGTTTCGGCATGAGCTGCCGTGCTGGAGGTGCACCACCCTCGAGCGGGTACGGGGAAAGTGACATCGGTGAGTAGGGGGGATGCACGCAAGAGCCTGCTGGTAGAGGGAGAGGCGGTCCCTTGGTAGATTGCAGACACCCTGGCACGGTGGCGGATGTACTGCTTCCTCTTTGGCATATCGCTGTGCTTTTGCAGAGGAGGAGAAGGAGGTTTTCGAGGCCTCCAAACGTGCGAGAGCATTCAACGCCCTCGCACCTACAGGATCGAACTTCGAGAACCGAGGAGGACGTGGAGTAAAAGGAGGAAAAGGAGGAAAAGGAGGAGGAGGAGGAGGAGGAGGAGGAGGACAGCGGTTTCGGTGGGAAGCCCTCGCAGGCAGCGCGCAGGAGGTGCAAGCAGGCCGCTGCCTCACAGGACCAGGAACGTGTGAACTGCAGCCAACGGGCCTCCTCCTCCTCCTCCTCCTCCTCCTGCTCCTCCTCCTCCTCCTCCTCCTCCTCAGAAGATGCTCTGCGGTCCTGTGTTCCGGCTGTGCGCGACGAGCGCGCCAACGCTCTGAGCTGGAGGCCATCGGCTCCGATTGTGAGCCTCACGGTGGATCCGACGCAGGATGAGGCTTGTTCTAGCTTGTGACGAAGCGTCCCCTGATGACATTACCGGCCGATTGAATATCCTCCTCCTCCTTTTCCTCCTCCTCCTCCTCGTCCTCCTCCTACTTCCCCTGAGGAACATTACCGACCAACCGAATATCCTCCTGCTGCTCCTCCTCCTCCTCCTCCTCCTCCTCCTCCTCCTCCCCGTTTGCCTCGGCTGGCCGCTGAGTTTCAAAGCTGCAGCTTGCGGGAAATTTCTGTCTTCCATATCTGGAGGCTCCTCCGGAAGCCCCTGCCTATGTGAGGCTGCCGACGCCACTCAGCCCGCGAAAAGGAGCCGAAGTCGATCACCCTGTGCGCCTCCAGGCCGCGTCATTGTTACTCCTCCCCGCTTCTTCTCCCCGATCCGTTCCTTCCTGCGTCTCCTTCTCCTGGTGTTTGCTCCTCCCCCTCCTGCTCCCAGAGGGCTTGCTGCCAGGACCACTGCAACGACAGCCACAACTACCTCCACGGGCACTGAGTGGGGCTTTCCCTCGAGGAGGAGTTGGACGAGGAGAAGACAGATGGGGAGGGGGAGGAGGTAGAGTCGGATCATGAGCAGGAGGAGATGGCGGATGAGGCGAAGGGAGGTGGAAGATAATGTTGAGCAGGATGAGGAGGAGGACAGGGAAAGGTGGATGAGAAATGGCGACCGAGCAGGAGGAGGAGGAGGAGGAGGAAGAGGAGGAAACACGTTGGTTGTCGTTTCGCGCTGAGCCAGCCTGCTGGCCGATATCCGTGGTCACCTCGCGGCGGCGTCGCACGAAGAAACAATAGCTATGAATAAATGATTCACGCTTCGCGTATACCCACCAGCTTTCGTGGTGCCCTCGCGCCACTTTGGCCGCGCTGCAGCTTGGCTGCTCCTCGCACTTGTGCGCTCTGCTGCTGCTGGACCTCCTGGCCCCGGCCACCCTGGTACTTCGCAGCTTGCCGATGCTCACGCCCCCCCTGGGCACCCAATTCGACCTCCGACAGTCGGTTCACTTGGCTGCGGCCACCCTGGCACCTTCGTAGTAGTCCGGGGGCTGGCGCCCTCGCGTCCAATCCCACGTCTGCTGCTGTCCCTGGTCGCCGGCCCCCCGGGCTGCCTGCAGCTTCTGACGCGTTGCATGCGTGCACCCTGGCAGTACCGTTATTCAGCCTGCCGCCAGCCCTTGCCACTCGCCGGCCCGCCGCTGAGGTGCTGCGTGAGGCTCCGGCCCACCGATTTAGGTTAATTCATCTTTGCGCGCCCCGCTCTGACTGGACTCGCCGCTGGCGCGCTCGCCTGCGGCCGCTGACTAAAAGTATACCCACCAGCCCGCGGCCCGCCCTGGCTAGTCTCACCTCCCGCTGTTCTCTTGTTGTCTCTCTTTTCCTTCTCTCGTGTGCAATTTAGGCTGCTGCTTGTTAGCTGTAGCTGTGGACGGCGCGCGGCCCTTCCGTTTGCGCTCGCGAACAAAAAGGATCCCCACCAGCCCATTCAGAAACCCTGGTCATGAGAGATGACCGGAAAAAGGGACGAGTAGACACGTATAGTGAAACAAAGCGGGCAACCAGGCAGGGTGAACTGATGGATCTTTGGCGCAAGGGGGTGAGCGTGGAGGGCCTCTTCAGGCCATCCCTGGGGCCCGCGAGACGTGGGGGCGAGGGGAGGAGCAGGATGAAGAGGAGGAGGAAGAGGAGGAGGAGGACGACGGCGACCACCACCACCACCACCACCACCACTACCACGACGACGAGGAAGAGGAGGAAACGGACAAGAAAGACGATGAGGGCAATGACGAGGAGGAGGAGGAGGAGGAGGAGGAGGAGGAGGAGGAGGAGGAGGATGAGGAGGAGGAGAACAACGAGGACGAGGACGCCCTCAAATCGCCTCTTGGAGCCCTCTTTGGTTTTTTCTTTGGAGGGATCTTGGGGTCCGCTTGGGGCTCTTCGGAAAGTATTGGCGCCCGCTTGGGGCTTTCGGGGGCCTCTTGGGAGCCCTGGAGGGACTCTTGGCGCTATCATGGAGGACGCCGCTTAAAAATGCGATGGGTTCTAGCGTTTCCCCCCCCCCCCCCCGCTCCTCCACCCACCCCCCTTTCTGGGGACCCAGAAATCGCCCATTGGACCGCTCTTGGGGCCATCTTGGGCACTCTTGGGACCGTCTTGTGGGCCTCTTGGGCCCATCCTGAGGCCCTTCTTGGGCCATCTTATGGCCATCTTCAGACATCGGAATATATAAGAAGGCGACACTCATAGATTTTCCGTCGGTCTTTGACGGATGCTGGCCTCTGGGGGGAGTCTTGAGGGGGCTCCAGGGGCATTTGGAGCAGTTTTGCGGCATTCGTCGGGCATCGTGGAGGCATGTCAGTAGCGATATTGCACCATGTTTGGATATCTTGAGCCACCTTGGAGGCCATCTTGGAGCATCGGTGGCCCTACAGGAGCCATAATGTGCCATGGTTGGCGCTCTGACCGATCGCGGCCCACCCCGGAAAACCTCAGGGAGGGGAGGGGCCTCCTCAAAGGGAAGAGGGCTTTGGGAAGAGGAAAGGACGACATCGCTAGACCAACTTAGCCCAAATGGCTGGTGCGACAGAGGATGAGGAGGAGGGAGTAGACGGAAGGATGAGGAGAAAGAGGAGGAGGAACGGAAAGAGGGGATGAAGACAAACAAGGTGCGCTTGCATCATATCCGACGTCCTATCCCTCCCTCCCATCCCTTACCATGGCGCAGATGTCCTCTCCATTCGCACTGTCGGGTGTCGAGCAGGGCAATGGTCGCGAGAGGGTACGCGATGCGTAGAAGAGCACGGCAGAGCCTAGCATGCCATAGCATGGCGGGCATTGCGCAGTGAAGCTTTGCAACGCAAAGCATGGCATCGCAAAGTGGCGCAGAGCGCAACACCGCACAGCATGTCTTGGCATGGCGCCGGGTTTCTTGGAGGGTCAGTGGATCGTCTTCGAGAGGTCTGGGCCGGTCTGGAGTCGTGGCTCTTTGTCTAGCCCCTTGGGCTCCACGAAAAGCCTCACACAATGCGGGGCTGATGGAGGGCACCCGCTGGCTCTGCTTCCAACATCGCCATCTCCAAGCAGAAGCGGGGCTCCCGCTTCATACTTCCTGAAAACGACGGCGCCCCGGGGCTTCTGCGGCCCAAGAAATCAACGAATCGACACCGAATGTGTAATCACTTCTGATGGTTTTTTCGGGGGGGCATTTTTTAGATTTTGGGGCCTATCTGGAAAGACCGAAAACGCCCGCGCTGCAGTGGGAGCACTCTTTGGAACAACCAGAGACGCAGAAATGGGGCCAGCGCTTCAGCAGGAGCAACATTTTGAAAAAAACCCAGCGAAAACCCACATCCCAGGAATCTTGTGTGTAAAAAACAGTACGCGGAGGGGGGCCGGATAGCTTCCGGACGTCATCAATGGAGAGAGGAGAGTAGTATTCGTATTGTGTAATTGTGGAGGAGGAGGAAGAAGAGGAGGTGGAGGAGGAGGGGGAGGGGGAGGGGGAGGGAGAGGAGGCGGGGGGATCAGAGGGAGAGGGAGGAGGAGGAGGAGGAGGAGGAGGAGGAGGAGGAGGAGGAGGAGGAGGAAGAGGAGGAGGAAGACGAGAGTAAACCCAGGATGCGTCAACGGCACCACGCCCTCCCGTTCCAAGTCCCACCCCTCAGAAGTCTCCAACAGCCTTTCTTGTCACTGCAGGAGGCGCCCCCTTGAATCACTAACATCCCAGGGGCCTGCCGTTCAGGGGAGAGCCACGTTTTGACATGGAACTGTCTCGCACTCGTGAAGTGAAGGATCACAAGGTGTGATCATAATGTTGGACGGCGTGTCCCCCAATTTTGAAAGGAGCCCCAATCTTCAAAATGCTCTGTCCCCCATCTGTGCAGGTGTTCCCATGAGTAGACGGCTGGGCAATCCAGGTGTCGAAAACAGTTAAGCAACACTCACGCATAACCTATGGCGTGAACTCCCCCCCTTCCCGACTGCAATGTTGGGCTCGGATCTCCCGAGTGTGTCGGACGAGTGATGCGTAGACGTGCCAACTTCGAATTGCGGGGGGAGGGGGGGCCTTGGCTACCTCGATACGCGCGTTTTGATACGCAACGCGTACCGTGCTCAAGACGTCCGTGCCACTACGTTGCGTGTCGGCTCCACGTGTTGGACCACGTTCTGGCGAACGTACCGCGTCGGACCCACGTCTTCAGCCTGCGTGGTGAACTCCGTATCTGTACGAGACGTGCTGCGTGCTGCGTATCGGGGCAGCTAAGGGGGGAGAAGGGGGGAGTGCTGCCTAGACGTCGTCAGCGAGAGCCCCCCATAGCGTCCTCCTCCTCCTCCTCGACTCGACTCGACTCGACTAAGGGCTGTACAATGTTGCCCGTACCAAGAGAGAAAAAGAAAATGGGAGCATGCACTAAGCATTCGTGCAGGGGAAGGAAGGCAGCAGCAGCGGACAGTGCACCGCCGACGATGAGGCAGGCCACACACGCAGGGCGACACCCCTCAGGAGACAGGGGTGACAGAATCCTCCGCGGCGAACCCCCCACGGGACGCGGGCGAGGGAGACCACGACGACCCAGGGGCGAGACAGGCGGGGGAGGGGAAGGCGTCGAGAGCTCCCACGGAGCGCCCAGAGGCGCGAAGATGAACAGGTCCGAGGCTGGTACTCACGTCAGTCAACAGTCCTGAGAGGAGCACCGCCGCACGGTCCTGGCCTTCGGGTGACCCCGTCCCATCTTCCTCACCAGTCCTGCGGGGAAAACAGAGGTTAGACTGCCAGCTTCTCCTGCTGGGGGCGGGAGGGGGAGGAGGGGGGGGGGGGGAGGGACAGGTGGAGCCTAGGCGGAGCCGCCTCCGTCCAAGACTCCAACATGTGAGTCGGCCACTCTTTCCCAACCGACTTCAGGCAACGCCAATATTTTTTGCACCTGCACGGGCAAGCACAACGCAGCTCTCGAGGTCGGAGCCTCGGATCGGCAAGGGGTATGGATAGGCCACACTGCAGGCACACGCCTGGCAATAGCGATCAAAAAAAGGCGGGCAGCGGCTCGGACCCACGAGTTCTCCCTCCCAAGTATTTCACGAGCCGTCACAGAGGCCCACGGAACCCCCCACTTATACCTGGAGTCTCGCCAATTGCTCGCAACATGATGGGGTTCGGGTTGACGGTCGGCCATTTCCCAAGTCATCCTTTCCCCGAGAGCACAAAGACCAGCAACAAAACCTTCGTCGATGGCATGCTGAATGTTTAGCACTAAGTCGAGATCCAGTATAAACTTTTGCGGCTGGCTGGACATGCCCGCAATCACTCGCAACTCAATCCCGATGTCACTGTAATGCTCACAAATCCATGGAGACAGGGAGGCAATAAGATCATAGGAAGGAACGAGGAGGACGACATAGGTTCTTCCCTGCAGCGAGGGATTCCTGGGCACCACGGGGGCCTGCGAGAGGACAGTGGACTCCTCCACAGAGACAGACGGCACACCAACGGGCAAAACTCGA